GCATTATTTTTTTTTCAGAAGTAAACATTTATTTGCCAAAGAAAATCTGTCAAAAGTTTTTGTGTGCTCTCAGAATTCTGGATGGAAAATCTGTAGGTATCTCCCCAGATCTGGCTGTCACAGACTGTCCCAGGCTGTCACTTAACCTTATCTAAAACCAATCTCAGTCTCTTCCCCTTTCCTCTTCCTCCCTTCCCTGTTTTTGTACTGATACTATTTTCTCTGGGATGCTGAGATGGAAAGCTCATAGTCACATGTGAGCCCCACCTCCGTGCACAGTGTAACAAATCAATAAAAATCTTTTATGAATTTTTTTTTTACAAACGCTCCTTGCATTCGAAATGTTAACTTCTTTAGACTTTCTTTAGATTTTCTCCATTTTGATAATTATTTGTTGGTTTCTATTTTATCTCTTCTATTTTTATCCTGACACTTCCTGTTCAAGACCCTATAGTCAAGGAGCAAAGGTCAACACTGTGATCTGCATCCAGGGTCTTCCAAGGTTAACTCCACAGGTGCCACGCACACCCTCCGTAACTCTGCCTGCCCATGTCTACTTAGTACTTTGCTAAATTGGTTTCCTGCCAGAGATGCCCAGGCTGCTCCAGTCTATCTCAAGCACTCTAGGAGGAACATTATGGTGAGGAGCATGAACCTCGACCAGACAGACCTCGGTTCATAGCCCCAGCTCTACTCCTTTACCATTTAACCTCTATCCCTTTTACTCTAAGTTAACATTTTCAGGACCTGGGAAGCAGCCTGTATAATTTGGCTTTTATGAGATTTGACTTCAGTTTTAGCTCCTATCCTGAAACTAGAAAAAAATTTAGTCTCCCATGTTCTTGAATGGTTCTTACAGTTCTCCTTGAAGAGGTCCTTCACATCCCTTGTAAGTTGGATTCCTAGGAATTTTTTTTTTTTTTTGAGACGGAGTCTTGCTCTGTGCCCCAGGCTGGAGTGTAGTGGTGCAATCTCGGCTCACTGCAAGCTCCGCCCCCCGGGTTCACGCCATTCTCTTGGTAGCAATTGTGAATGGGAGTTCACTCATAATTTGGCTCTCTGTCTGTTATTGGTGTATAAGGATGCTTGTGATTTTTGTACATTGATTTTGTATCCTGAGACTTTGCTGAAGTTGCTTATCAGCTTAAGGAGATTTTGGGCTGAGACAATGGGGTTTTCTAAATATACAGTCATGTCATCTGCAAACAGAGACAATTTGATTTCCTCTTTTCCTATTTGAATACTCTTTATTTCTTTCTCTTGCCTGATTGCCCTGACCAGAACTTCCAATACTATGTTGAATAGGAGTGGTGAGAGTTGGAATGAAGAGAAGAATCTCTTCTTTGAGATTCTTCCACCTATTTGCCACTCAGCGTCCTCGGGCTGTGCAAAGCGACACTCAGTGGACCTTTGCTGAGGAGCTGCTCACACTTCTGTGATGAAGGATGGCCAGCGCCATTCCAAAGAAGGAATGATTGTCACCACAGTCCTGCTGTCTTTCTAGTCTCCCTGCAACTCTAGACATGAGCATCCCTTCCCTCAAGGACTTGCTGTTTGTTCCTGGTGGCAAGACACAACTGTGTCCCAGTATACTGACATTAGACCCCAAGCTGACTCAGTAAAACTGTCTAGGTTTATTAAAGACAAGTGAATACTCTGATTCCCAGATGAAGCTGAAGTGTAAGTTACGGTGTCCTAGGTTTTTACATTTTGTGGGAAATGACAAAGTGATGTTAATTTTTGTTTTTGCCAAATAAGGGCACTAACAAAAATTTACTATCTTGCATTCTATCTTTTTCAATGAAAAAAAAAGCTTATAGTTTCTGCATAAAAAGATGTTATTAAGTTGAACAGGTTTAGCTTTGGGATTATTATTTTTCTTAGTTCACTGAGGCAGGGTGAAATGTTAGCCAGGAATTGGCTCTCATCATTAATCCTGAGTTTGGAAACCACTGTTATATGAAACTTGTTAATTCAGTGGACATATTCTTGAAGGTCCTCTTTCAAGTCCTTTAATTTGAGAGGACTGAAGAAGGTCACAGCTATGGCGCTACTTCCTCCTCTTCCCTATACCTATACATATCCTTATGATACATTTAAGCAATTACTTGTCTTGTACTGTCCTCTAATGGTTTCGTATATGGATATCTTGTCTCTTCCAACCAGATTCGAATGCCAGGCAAAGAGAAGGTACTGAAGAACTAATTTTACAAACACATTTCTATAGTATACACCAACCAGCAGGCTGTTTAAGGATGTTCAGACATTTGTGTGTCTATGTGTGTGTTTAAATATTTTGGAAGTCTTTTGGAATCATCAATGTGAAAAGTGCACATTTTTGAAGGATTAAACGAGCTTTGTAGAGTAAAAAAACAAGCCTTTGGAGTCAAGTCTCCAGCTTCGTCTCCATTTCCTGACGAGGCTGCAAGATTAAAATCCCAATTGAGTAGATGTGGCCCTGCATTTGAAGCACAGATGAAGTCTCTCCTCATTTTTGATGATATAGTAATAATGTAGTGTGTAGCAAGGTAGTTGAGGTGCTCCCACAAAATATCAGAATTGTTTTTCATTTTAATGTACTTTTTTTAACTTAAAAAAACCATAAAATGTTCCTCAGAGTGACAGTCAAGCTTCAATATTTATGACTTTCTGATTGCTCTAGCGGTTTAGAAAAAAAAATAAAAATGAGCCCTGAAGTAAAATTTGAGTGGAAAAGATTAAAATTCAGAATTATGGACTTTTCTCATTTAAATAAGTATTCACTTTTTCCTGGAAGTTTTATGTGCCAACCCCAGTTTCTCTGTATTTGACAATCCTTGAAATAGTACTTAACTTCTTTCTTGAAAATATATGAACGGTTTTATTTTTTGAAAACAGATCCCTTTGGATGAGCACAACATTTTCCCAGAAGCTTTTACACTCTACTTTAGACCACAAGCCAAGCACACACACACATTGTCTTGGAAGTGAATGGTTCTTTTCAGAGCACTAGCGGGGGAGCATATGAGTGAATGAAAGTGGATACAGGAGAGAGCATCATTATCTTTAGGATATTTTAAACTGCTATGATTTATTATATCTACTCGGCCGATTGGTGATATGTACTCTAAATTGCTCCATCATTTACTTTCCTGTGAACCCTTGTTTTCTGATTCATATGTCTTAAGTCTTATGACTAAATCAAACCATATTTCCTTACCCAAATGCAGTTCTTTAATTACTTTATAATTTTGTGACTGCTTTTTCCCTTCGAATAGTGTATTTCGACAGCTACTTAGAGGAATATGTTATTAGTGTCTAATTAAATTTTTAATTTAGTTAGGGAAAGGAGGAATGTGACTACAGGTTGGCATCTGTAATCTGAAAATACAAAATACAAAATGCTCCAAAATCCAAAACTCTTTGAGTGCTAATGTGGTGCCAAAAGTAGAAAATTCGACACATAAGTACTAACACGAATTTGGTTTCATGCACAAAATTATTAAAAATATTGTATAAAATTACCTTCAGGCCATGTATATAAGGTGTATATGAAACATAAGTGAATTTTGTGTTTAGACTTGGGTCTCATCCCCAAGATATCTCATTATGTGTATGTAAATATCCCAAAATCTGGAAAAAATCTGAAAATCTGGAAAAAAAATCTGAAAATCTGAAACACTCCTGGTCCTAAGCATTTCAGATGAGGGATACTCAGCCTGTATTTCCATTCAAGGTGTGTGTAAGGTCATTTTATTACTAGGAACTCTAATTGCTATTACAGAATGTGGATGTGACTAAAGAAAAATGACAGTTGATGAATACTCTCAGAAAGGGAATAATGAAGAACGACTCCCCCCACACACGAAGATTCGCTGTAAAAGAAAATTTTGTTATACTCATTAAAAAGTATTTAAGTTTTAGTAACAACTTACATCTCCAGCATTTTCCTCTCTTAGCTTTCCTGATTAATTAATTCTTTCAACAAATATCTGAGTGTTCCCTAAGCCTTGTTTTAGGTTCTGGGAGTATAGCAGTAACTAACACAGACCAAAGCTCTACCCTTGTGTTACTGATACTCTAATGATTCCTGGTGAATTCATTTATTTATTTTTACAAAAGCTTGTTATATGAGCCTTATATAAAAGATCCAAATAGTTATATCTTGCAGCCTTATTAGTAAAAGAACCAAAATGAATAATTCAGGATTTGATTTCTAGGGTAGCAGTGTGATAAAATACTCTTTTTCTAGATTTGGATTCTGAGCAGTAGCAGGTACATATTGTGGCGACAAAAACTGACTCATCCCTGAAGAAAGTAATATGGAAAGCAGAGAAATTGTCAGGATTGTTTGGCGACAGTATTGTGAGACTGTTCTCTGAAACATGCATAAAAATGTTTAAATGGCAGAAGAGAACAGCATGTTTGCATCTGGTTTACAAGAAAGGTTTTATTCAAGACAATATTGGAAAAAAGTCTTAGCCTGAGCCAATTTTGAAATGTTGAGGATGGGGAGAAATTTGAGGCAGAGCTGGCCCTAGTTATAAAAGAGAAGGCAGAGTTTGGGCATCCACCTTTTCCCATCTCCCTTTACCCCTTTTTCCATCTGACTTATTATAGATCCTGCCACATTCCATGTGGGTGGAGAGAACTGGCTGCCCCAGGTCCGCAGACCTACTCTGCTATTTGGCATTCATGTGAGCATGAACAACCACCTAGTTCACACTTCATTTTCCCATCTACAAAATAAAGATAAGAACACAGACTTCAGAAGGTAATGGTGAAGATTAGATATAATGTATGTGACAATGCTTTGAAACAATTCGTAACAAGAAATAGCATAATGGTTAATACTTCTTTAAGCAATGGCAATAAGACTCTGAGAAGCACAGGAGCTCTCTATACACCGGAGAGCTTTTCTCAGACTGTGCCTTAGATGACCTATGCCATGGGCAAGGCTGGTTACTCTGGTTACCGAAAGCCATATTGACCCCAGTCTGTTCTGATGCTGAGTTACTCACTCTTGCCAGGCTGGTCCCAGATGGAACTTTGTATGGAACGTACTTCCTGTAGATATGACCAACTCTGGAACACGGAACATCAAACATTTCTCCTCCACACATCCAAACCTGAAAAGGGAAAAACAGAACAGAAGACAACAGTGAATTTCACACAAGAAAGGAATTAGCAGTAGGATTCACAAACCATCTTAAAATCTCTAAAAGTCTTTAAATCAATAAGTTCTACTTATTATAAATGGCTAACCAAAAAAGAAAACCAGGTTTTTTAAAATCTAGATTCATAAAAGTTTAAAACCAAAATACAGCTGAATGCAGTGGCTCATGCCTGTAATCCCAGTACTTTGGGAGGCCAAGGAGGGAGGATCACTTGAGCCCAGGAGGTCATGACCAGCCTGTGCAACATGACAAAACTTCATCTCTACAAAAAATACAAAAATTAGCTGGATGTGGTGGTGTGCGCCTGCAGCCCCAGCTACTTGGGAGGCTGAGGTGGGAGAATGGCTTGCTGCAGTGACCTATGTTTGCACCACTGCACTTCAGCCTGGGCAACAGAGCGAGATCCTGTCTTAACAACAACAACAAAAAAACCGAAACTAAAATAGTAGTTCAATAAAATCTTGTTTTTATAGACAATATGTTGGCTTAAGAAAAATTCTAGTAAAATTTTCTTACAAATATTGTATTGAACCCACATTTCATACTTAGACATCTTATTTATATAGATATTTGTTTCAATAATCTTGTAAAAATCATTTGAAGAAATAACGTTTGAAATTAAAATGCTAATTTAAAAATTTAACATATAAAAAGTGGAATTTTAAAAATAGGTGAATGCTTTAAAGAACACAAGCATATGCATAAGTTTTAAGTTGCATTCTGAAACTTGCAGCAATGCTAACCTTAAAAATCAGAGTTGCATTCTCATTTCTCTCCCCCAAACTGATCTTTTTCTTAGGTACAGAAAATAATCAGTTAAGATGCTGTACTTTCTTTTCTTTTGTTTTGAGACGGAGTTTCGCTCTTGTTGCCCAGGCTGCTGTGGAATGGCGCAATCTCGGCTCACTGCAACCTCTGCCTCCTGGGTTCAAGCAATTCTCCTGCCTCAGCTGCCCAAGTAGCTGAGATTACAGGTGCCCACCATGATGCTCAGCTAATTTTTTTGTATTTTTAGTAGAGGTGGGGTTTCACCATGTTGGCCAGGCTAGTCTGGAACTCCTGACTTCAGGTGATCCGCCCACCTCAATCTCCTAAAGTGTTGAGATTACAGGCATGAGCCACGGCACCTGGCCCAAGATGCCATACTTTTATATTTAGTAACAAAAGTCATGGTTATATTTTACCATGACTACCTTCTCAGAAAGACGCACACTTAATTGTGGTTTTATATAACAGACCATCTATTATAAAAGAACTAATTATCAAAACATAAATCCAGGATTCATATAAGCTATAGTCTTAGATATTTTTATTGTAAGATAAATGATTATAAAAAGAGATACTCTGATGGTTAATTTTGTGACTCAACTTGGCTGGACCACAGCGACCAGAAATTTGGTCAAACACTATTCTGGATCTTTCTGTGAAGGTGTTTTTTTGCATTCGATTAACATTTGAAATCAGTGGACTTTGAGTAAAGTGAATTACCTTCCATGATATGGATGGGCCTCATCCAACTGGATGAAGTTGTTAATAGAACAAAGTCTGACCTCTACTGAGCAAGAAGGAATTCTGCCAGCAGAATCCCTGGGTCTCCAGCTTGCCCACCTACTCTGAAGATTGTGGACCTACCAAGCTTCCACAATCATGTGAGCCAATTCCTTAAAATTAATCTCTCTCTCCTCTTGGTTTTGTTTCTCTGGAGACCCCTGAGTAATACAGATACATATCTTTATTTGAAGTGTAATATTGAAAGAGAGAAAGAGAAGTGCTAATGTTTTCCTTTATATTTGCTTCCAATTTCTTTCACTAAGAGAAATGACACCCAAGTGAGAATGGTTGAACAAATAGTGATTAAGGTCAATGGAAGTCCAAGAAGGAAGAAATGCAATTATTAAAGCAACATTCAGTTGCTGTAATTGAGTTCAGGATTACTCATAGTATTAATTTCAACTTGATGGAATATTTATTAATGATTTGGATCAAGCCTTCAGAAATATGTGTGGTTGATATAAAGCTGGTAAGGGCAGTGGACAGTCTAAAGTAAATTATGAACATCTGGAAAGATCTCCACAGGATGGAGCTATATAACATTGAAAATAAAAAGGCAACAACAAACACTCGTCCGAGGATCTTAAGAAATCAACTCTTCCACACATCACTACTATGGAGAATTTAGGGACCAACGATATAGATCTATCTACAGGCCTGAAGTCTTTTGCTAATTTCTGGATAAATGCTATTTATATTTCCTTCTAAAGGGAATTTTGAAGTGGAAAAGTGATGCGAACTCTGTCTTAAGAGAGGCAGTTGAAAGAACTAAAGATGTGTAGTTCTAATAAGATAAAATTCAGAGATAGCCTTTTCAAAGAACCTAATATTTGGAAGAGATATTTTGTAGAGCCTTTAGGAGGTAGAACCAGGATTAATTGCATATAGCTATAAGGGGGCAGATTTTAACCTAGTAGGAAGAAATTTCTAATAAAATGATTAAAGATCGAATGAACTTCCCGTATCACTAGATGTGTTGAAATCTGCAGCAGATGACACTGGGGATAAACATATGACTCGAATGGACATTTGATCTAGCTGATACTTTAAGGCAATTCTACAGCATGAGTTAGCGTTTATGAATGGTTATTATGCCCTTTTCATTAATTATTTCATGTAATGCTCACAATTCAATGACAGACTTTACTGTTTCCCCAATTATGAAGGTGGGAAAATGGCAGCCTAGAGACGCTGAGTAGCTTGTTCAAAGCCACATAACTGGCCACTTCCGAACTGAGATTTGAAAACCTAGTGGTTTAACTTCAGTGCCCATATGTTTAATTGATATTGTATCTACAGATTATGCAAACTCTTTCTGTAAAGGGCCAGATAATAAATACTTTTGCCTTTGTAGGTCATATGGTATCTTTTGCAACCCCTCAAATCTGCTAACAAATAGGCATAGTGTAAATTCAGTTAAACCCTGGTTACAAAAACTGGCAGTGCGCTATTGTTTGCTGGCTCTTGTTCTATAGAGTAAGGAGTCCTTTCAAACACTGAAATTCAGTGATTCTAAGATAATGTATGTGGGAGATTATAGTTTCCCAAGTTAGACACCACAATATCTTCCACTGCACATACCCCTCTGCAATGTGACCTTGGTAACCAATTTCCCATTAGGGGATCAGTCTATGCCTCCTCTCTTTGAATTAGGGTGGGCTTATGAATTCTTAGACCAGTAGAGTACAACAGAAGTGGTTGAAGATAGGTCATAAAAGGCCACATAACCTGTCCTCTGGGGCATTTGTTTTTGAAACTCTGGGCTTCCATGTGAGAAATTTGACTCTGAGGAATTTCATAATTGACCATTGTGAAAAAGTCCAAGCACCTGAGATGTCATGCATTGGGTAAATACCTTTACTTAGGGTTTTATCTGCTGGCCAACATTAGCTGCCAACCCTGTGAATAAAGATGCCTCTACGTGATTCCAGCCCCTTGCTGTTGAATCATCCTCCCGAGACTCCATATACCACAGAGCCGAAACAAGCTATCTCTTCTGTGCCTTTTTTTGAATTTGTGGCCCACAAAATCCAAAAGCTTAATAAAACAGTTGCTTTATGGTGTTAGGCTTTGTTGTGCAACAGTAGTAATTGGAACTACATATTTCTAAATCCATGATAAAGGTGAATTACTAGCACCGATAACCAAAGTTTATGGATCACTTATAGTTTTCATCTTACTCGATTGTACGGGATACAGAGCTAGGACTCAGCAATTTCCATGCTCACTTCCTCCTGGGCACACAGCCAAGTTATAATTCCCAGTTCCTTTGTATTTAGATGTGACTATGCACTGTTTCTTGCCAGTGGAATGCAAATGGAAGTGATGTGCATCACCTCTGGGCGAAAGAAATCACTAGTGGACTTCTTTCTCTACTTTGTTTATGATACATTTTTCCCTCAGAGCCTGAGTAATTGCAGAAGATACAGAGGAGGATTCTGAGGCCCTAGCAGATGGTAGAATCATTAAATGGATGGGGACAGGGTTGCTGAAAACTGGGTGAAGAATTACTCGTGCCTCCTCCTCCAAATTGTGAGACAAGCAATAGAAAATTCTTATTAATGTTAAATTACCAAGATTTTGGATTTATTGTAGACATTGTTCCACCCTAATGAATAGTCATTTTTTTCTCAGCCTCTTCTGATATTTTTAATCAAATGTAGTGACTGTAATTATTTAGGAGATTACTTTAATTCTTATTCCTGTATTTTAAAGAGGTAGAATTTAAAAGTAATTCGACAACAGGTGATGGGGTGGAAAATGGGAGGGAGGAGAATGTTGGATAGTCCAGTGTATAATCAAATGTCAGTTCTTATTGGTCAAAGATAAGCAAATGTCAAGGCAAAGAAACTTTCTTATCATCTGCAGCTGGGAGATAGGAATTTGTTGGCACAGCCTTTTATTTTTCACAAAAAAGTGACAATATTGATTAGCTTCTGGAGGTGGCCAATCTTTCCTGCAGGATTAGAAGATGGTGATAAGTGAGGACAAGATGTGGGGTCAAGGTCTGGAGCAAGGCCCTACATTTTCTGGCCTTAACCTATTCTTCACTTCATGTGATCTTGTAAAATACTTACAAAGTGAGCACAAGTGAACTAAATGCTTCTTAAGAGAGTATTTGCAGAATGAAAACCGCCACAATAGAAAGTTCAATAAATCATTATTGCTTTCTGTTATGGATTGAATGTTTGTATCCACCCACCCTATCAAACTCATATGTTGAAATTTTAACCTCCAATGTAGTGGTATTCGGAGGTGGGGTCCTGGGAGCTGATTAAGTTATGAGGGTAGAGTTCTCAAGAATAGAATTAGTGGACTAGTAAAGGAGACCCCAGAGAGCTCTCTCACTGTCTTTCTGCCATGTGAAGATACAATGAGTAGTTGGCAGTCTGCAACCTGGT